TGGGACCTGAAGATTCGAGTCTCTTCTGTTCGGTGAGCCATCTATCTGGATCACAGGATCTGGGATAGATGGGTTTGTTACCTGGTTGGATGGATCTATTCTCAAGTTACGGAGTAAGGGATTCAATTATCTCGTCCCCACAGACGACGCCAAAATGTGAGGGATAAAACTCACCTCCTAATTTTAGATAAGGTTAAGATTGAGAAAAGAAAACGTGGGCAGAATCCCGTTTAGAACTTATAGAATGAATATGATTGTATTGAGTGTTTTTGGTAAAGAATGATTACAAAGATGATTTTGACGATTACAAAGAATTATGAGAATGTTTTGTGAACTAAATATGTGTAAATGGTAGAATGAATGAATCGAGAGAGGATCCTTTTCTCTAATCTCCTCCTCTTCCTTAAATAGCTCTCAGCCATGTTTGAACGATCCTAGCCAACCTCCGAGATTTGCTCCGTGAGTTGGGGGATTCTCAATAGTCTCCTTTTGACCGGGTCTTGCGCATCCAGCCTGAGCTACTCATGTTAGCTCTTTGTAAATGAGGTCCGAAGCTATTTTCTGTGACCTATTTTGTTAACGTGCCTTCCTTAGCAAACAGCCTCCGGCTTCTTTTTAACTCTTTTCTCAAAAGATTAATTGCCAATGGGCTTACAGTGACCCATTGTCAATTCTTATCGCTTGGCCCATTAGTCTAATCTAGCGGGCCATATTTGGGTCCAACATCTCTTTTAATCTTGGTCGAAGAGCTCATAATTTGAAGTCGATTGTGAGGTCGCTTCAACGAAGAAGTAAAGATTAAGGGATTTAATTGAGGAAACAGCTGTTTAACTCTTTCAACCGAACTAGCTTGTTTGGAGCAAAGGTAAAGGAGCTGATAGTAATAGAGTATTTGGAGCAATACTCATAGGCTCAACACTCGTCTAAAACCTGTTACGGTCGTACCACGATGTTTAATCCAGATGGGCAGGAATCTGTTCTCCCGTAATACTCAATCGTCGACATACAACACACCGTTAGATAAATCGAGGTTATCTAATTTACTAAGGATTAAACAGGCTCCCTTGTGGCATACCCAGTTATTATATTTTGTTCACGAGTTACCTCGCATTTTTGAAGAGGTAACTCGTAGGTCTGTGAGTTAATTCAAAACTTCGGTTATTAATTAAAGGCATTTATCCTTTAATATAATAACCTATAAAGTACCATGTTCTGTTTAATGGTCCATCGAGAGGAAACATAGTTTCCTAGAGGGGACTATGTTAAGGAGATTTTTTGTCTCCTTTCATTTTTATCTTATGCACGGAAACGCTCGTTAGCGTTCTTAATCATGCAGAGATTCAAGGAAAGATAATGGGGATGCATGTTTCACGCATTAGCCCCCCGATATCACACATTCTCTGTGTTGATGATAGCTTGTTTTCTGTAAGGTGGAACTCCGTAAATGCGATGAAGTTATGAAAGTAATTAAGACATATTAGAGAGCTTCAGGATAACCCATTAACATCAAGAATTCAGCCTTATTCTTTGGGAAAAAGGTACTGGTTCCGGTGATGGATGCGATCAAAGCCTCAACAAGGATAACAAATGAGGGAGGGATGGGATCTTATCTGGGAATCCCATAGAACATCAATGGATCCAAAAGAAAACTTTTTGCTTTCCTAAAGGAAAAACTGCAAAACCGTATAATGAAATGGACAGGAAAATACTTATCGCGTGGAGGAAAGGAGGTCTTAATAAAACATATCCTGCTGGCGTTGCCAACCTATATCATGTAGACACTCTTGCTACCGCTCGAGACTTGTGAAAATTTAGCTAGTACCATTGCACAGTTTTGGTGGAATTCAAAACCCCCAAAAAGAGGGATTCACTGGACAATATAAAAGAAGCTCTGTAAACCAAAGGAAGAAGGTGGGATAGGTTTCAAAATGATCCATGAATTCAATTCTGCACTTTAGGGAAACAATTTTGGAGATTAGTTCAGTTCTCTAATTCCTTATTAGCAAAAGTATTGAGGAGAAAATACTTCAGATCTAGTTCGTCTTTGCGACTACATAGTTTTGTTAGTCCCTCATATAGATGGGCTAGTATTATGGCTGAAAGGTCATTAATAACAATGGGGATTAAATAAAAAGTCCACTCGGGAATGAAATCATGATTAGAGAAGACCTTTGGATCCCAACGATACATGCATGTCCAGCTTGACCGAGAGCCCATGTACTTCACCCGATGTTGCAGTGAGTCACTTCATGAGTGAAAATCCAAAGCAGTGGAACTTGGAACTAGAGGAACACTATGTCATTCAATATGATATCACAAAGACATCACAGAGACGAATTATGTTGGTCATATACGAAGACTGGAAGATACACGTTTAAGTCTGGATATCGGGGACGATAAATTTTCTAACGAGAGAAATATAAACAGTACTAGAACCAAGTATAATCACACTCTAAGTCTTTGCTTGGATGATTAAAGCTCCACCGAAGATCCGGCATTTCATATGGCAATGAATCTCAAGATAATTAGAAGTAACTATCAACTTAACAGACCATCATATGCGATATCGTAATCATTGTCCTAGGTGTGGGGCTGAAAATGAAACGATCAATCACGCGATATTTGAATGTCCCCCGACATTAAAAATATGGGCTTTCGAAGCAACCCAACTCCACTTTCAGTGTTTCCCAGTGCGAACCATCTCAAAAATGTGGATTACTTGTTCTGGCGCAAAATGATATTGAAGATCCTGAGCTTGATAAGGATCCTTATCCGTAAATCATATGCTATATCTGAAAGGCTCGGAATGACAAACTGTTTAGAGGGCTAGACATGGACCCATTGTAAACTGTCAGACATGCAGAAGCCGAATGCCATGCTTGGTTTGAGGAAAACAAGAAACCTGCAAGAGTAACAATGGAGAGCCAGCTCAAGAACCTTTGGATGACTCAGGGAGATGCATGATTGATGGATCATGGACACATGACGCACTCTTCAGTAGTTGTGGGTGGACATGGAAGGACTCTAATGGAAAAATTCAACTTTTAGAGACTAAAAACCAGTGCAAAAGAATCTCACCACTCTGAATTGGAGGCCCTTCGGTGGGTAATGAAGTGCATGTTGCAGACGTTGACGTGGCAGACATTCAGTAGTGATTGCAAAATTAGTCACGATGACCCATGATCCAGGAACATGACCAAACTTTTCCACAAAATTACAGAAGTTTTCAAGGCTGAAGAATAGATTCATAGAGTTTTCAATTTCTTTTATTCTTCGTGCTAGAAATGTATTGTCTGATCCATTAGCTAAGATAACAAAGACATTTTATAAAAATCTGTATTATATTGATTGTTTTATTCTGGTCTGGTTATCCAGACTACTTTAAATTTGAATAATAAAATAGTTTGATGGAAAAAAAAAATTAAACATATGTTGTTGTTTTTTTTAACGAAAATATATGTTTTCTAAATTGCTATTTTTAATTATTCCGAATTATATGAGATAAATGTCTACATGTTGAAGTACACGATTTGGCCAACTAGTATTTTGTCATATCTGAAATGAGTGATTCGGTTGTTGCATGATGAAATATCAAAGTTTAATAATGGGGTTTCAAATTTTTCAAAAACAAAAATCTGTAAGTAATTAAGCACTAGATCAAAGTGTGCATTGGTAATGTCCAACATTTGGGATTCGGTGCGAAATTTTTTGTTCTTTTTGTTTGTAACCAACTACAAGCATAATGGTCCCCAAATTATCATAAATCTTGACAAGATCTTCAAACAATCTCAACCCACTTCAAAAAAATAAATTTAAAATGAAGATAAAATAAAAAAATGCTCCAAAACTGTGGAGGTAGTTTGTAAAATGCTGACTAAGAACAGAGTCAACAGCTCAACAACTACAAAAGCACTATCAAGAATTCATTAAGTCAATGGATCTTGTCAATTGAGAAGATTGTGTGGAAATGAATATATCACTTTCAGGTTATTTGTATATTCATTTGAAGGGCAAGTCAAACATGAACCATCTCCACAAATAAAAAGTTGAGAACATAATGTAATCTTTATCTCGTAATCTCTCTGAAATCTTTTATATCATCATTGATACCGCTTATCGGCATACCATAACAACTTTTTGTTGATCGTGATTCTTGAGATGGGTATTGGATCCCCAATTTTACAGAACAATCTCCTACACAATCAACTTGATTGCTGACTCCTATAACTATAAACCATATGCGGGAAAAATAGTCGGTCGTTTAGCCACAAAGTTTGACCTTTTCTAATGTCTAGTGCCATAAATTTCTCCAAAAGCGACTCTGGTACTAAGTAATCAATACCTTCAAGATGGTTTATGGAAATGATTTTCTTAAAACGAAATGTATTCTGTGCAGAGTTGGTTCCTTGGAAGGCTTGAATGTATATTCGTATCAGTTATGCAGATTTATAAAGGCCTAACATGTAACCATCATGACTGCAACCTAGTTTTAAACAAATAACACACAAAGTCTTCTGATCCCATTTGGAGAAAGTAAGTATCAAATGAAACTCAAAAAACTCTTCGGAAGAGATTGAAGGTTTAACCTTTCTGTGTACTTGATAGTGCCATCTAAAAGCGCGGGTTTCCCTTCACAGCAACATGATCGCTGCAAAACAAAAAAGGTCTAAGAGAGGACACTGGAAATTACAAACAACATAATCACAAAAGACCAAATCAAAAGAAGCAGGTGGAGAAACATATATATATATATATATATTATCCACTTAGAACAAAACCTCAAGCATATGAGGTTTTAGTGTTACAAAAAAAAATAAAACCTCAAGCATATGTTCTCGGAATACAAAGGTAAAAGCTCAATGAGATTGATAAAAACTAAAACTCTAGGACAAGGTAGCATAGAAATAACTAATGTAACTGAGCAAAAACACCTCTAGTTAAAGGATAGTATCAGAGATTAACAAAATATAAAACATCAGATTATATAAATCTTTTGATTATGTTTACAAGGTTGCAAAAATCGTAGAATGAAACCGATATACAAAAAAAAAAAAATATACAGAGATAATGAAATATGAATCATCAACCTTTGAACAGCCGAAGACGTGACTTAGAACTCTTTGCAAGTTTTGTTTTCAAAGTATTATCCTTTACTCCTTGACCATTCCCAACAGCAGCAGGTTTTGCAGACAGTTCAGATGTTACCGTTCTTGAAGTCCATTGTCGAACTGGACTCGCTTGTCTCCAAGAAGATGGGTAACTACTACAAGAAGCTTCACCAGTTTCAGACACTAATCTTCTGTGTGTCCTAATCATTTCTCCCATCACATCATTCTTTTTTGTAGTTTCATTCTCTGGTTTGTTACCATTGTTCTTCTCAGCCTCTGCATCATCATCATCATCTTCTTCTTTGATGGTTTGTGTTTTCTTCTTCCCGTTACTAGACATAGCCCACGCCATTTGATCCTCAAACTTCACTTGGAAACTCGACGGCTTTTCATCCTCTTTCTTCGTTTGGTTAAGCTTCTCAGTTTCGTTTACAGGTTTCTTGAGCTCGAAGCAATTCGAGTCGCTTGCCGCAGAGTCTTCCTCACACTCCACATCACGCGGTGGTGCGCTCAATGCATTAAACGGAACCGATTCAAGTGAACTCCGACGCTTAGCATGAAGGAACGTCTCTATCTCAACCCCAAGCTTATCCAACACCGAGCTATCTCCTCCACCTTCTAATCTCATTTGCATCCTTTCATCAAGCCAAGATTCTGCCACATGAAGAACCATCTGATCTCTTTCTACCCGATCCTTATCCAAATCCTTCTGCTTTAAACCGCGAATCTCCTCTTCGTATCCCTGAATCCCTTTAGCAAACTCATCGCAGAGTATCTCCATCATCTTCTTTGACTTATTCCCTCTCTCAACCTCCTTGACGCACTCAGACAACGAAACCTTCACTTCAGAGAGCTCTCTCGCCAGTTTCCTTTGCAAACTCTCGGAACGTTTTCGAAGTTTCCGCTCATCTTCCAGCTCTTTCCTCACAGACTGAACAGCAGAGGTAACTTCTTTATTCTTCCTCAAGAGGTTTTCTTCGGTGAGTTGCTTCACCACACCGTTTAGCTCATGCCTCTCGGCTTGTTGATACCTAAGAAGCTCTTTGATACGAATACGCGAGTGAGCCAGCTCGTGTTTCAGAGCTTTTATTAAAGAGATATTGGCTGCGTGCTGCTCCTCGAGGCTCCAAATACGGTTTAGTACCTTGAGAAGTTCGGTTGATGTCTTGAGATCGTAATGAGGTTCTCTTGATGGTCTTCCTTGGAAGTCTAGTGAACTGCTTGGAGTTACTGCTTTGTTGTACGGCGCAACCTGTAATCCAATAGTGTGAATTACATATATATCCCAAATATTAAGAAAACCATTAAATCATCTATTATATCTCTAATCAATAAACTGTTTTATTTGATTTTGTTAATTAATGAGCTAAAAGAACTAGAATAAAAATGAAAAAACGATCAAACTGAAAATATAAAACGACACTTATAATGAAACTGGTTTTAAAATCTACAACTACTTGAAATGGAGAGAGTATTTGATAGTAAAACCTCGAGGGAGCTTCCGTAACTAGCAGGAGATACAGGCTGAAGAGCGTGATTGTTTCTTTCGAGTGATTGGTGATGTTTCATCAGCACTTGACCGATCTGCCTCCTTAGACTTCCCGCACTCTCTGGCTGAGACAATAAAGTACTATTTCAGAACTATAAACAAAACCAAAGCGAGCTGTGTTTAAGATTCAAGTCAAAGTAGTTGCTTACAAGTCAAAATTCACTTCTTCACTAAACTAATAATAAGCTAACTAACTAGTAAAATCTGTTTGTGATCCACACTTGAACCCTAGCGAGATCCAATCACTTGAACTAAAAAGGCAAGAACAGAGCAAAGCTATGATGAAATTCAGAACACAAAAATCAGTAACACTCATCACTATCCAAACTTCAACAATCAACAGTCTTGCTGATGAATCTAGCACAAACCAATCATTTGTCACAAATAATCCTCAAGGGAGAGAGACCTGATGATCAGGAGAGGGATCTCGGAGGAATTGAGAGAGGTCGAGACCATTCTCCTTAACCACAGCCTTGCCGTGGCGCTGTCGGCGGTGCATTTTAGCAGCAGGAGGAGGAGAAAAGAAGGAGCGATCTTCTTCTTCTTCTTCGTAGTAGTAGTAGTGATGAAACTCCCAGAAAGCAGCAGCGAGCTTTCGAGATGAAACAACGTCGTCTGATGGTGAGTAGAATTTTGAAGAGTAAAGGTTAAGGCTGGAGAAGCTAACGTGCACCGGAGTTGAAGGTCCATTATTATTATTTTTACAAGTATAATTCTTCAACTTTTCCACCAATCTCTCCCCTTTCTGTCTCTCTCCATTTTCTTCTTCTCCTTTACTTTCCATCTTTTTAGGTGAAAAGAAAAGCAAAAAGGTGTCGCCTTTTTTCTCTTTTAAATCAAATCCAAAATCATACATACACTGCAAATGGTCTTGTGGGTTTGTTTCACCTGTGCATGTGTGGTGTTTTAAGACCTTGGATACTTTCAAAGTGGGGTTTGCTTAATCCAGTTTCTTTGATAGCTGCAATCCAGTTTGTTTGAGTCACACATCACTTTCACATTAAGTGCTTTTAACATATTAACAAATAGGAGTAATAATATTAACACGTGAATGAAAATCTGGGGATCTTTGGATGCTGTAATATTCCGACAGTACTGTAACTTGATATTCTTGGCGTGTGTGTCTCTTTGTTTGTACTAGCTGCATAATCCCCGCGCAAGCGCGGGGTCGGGATCTGTATTTTTTTCGGTTGTTGGTTTAGTGGGTTATTCTAATAATACCAAATAATGATGAAATGGAAAGAATGTAGCAAGAGTGCAAAGTGAAAATATCGTATATATAATGTGTTAAATGTTATTTATATGCGAAATAAGGTTTATAGGAATAACTAAATTATCATATAGTTTTTAGTGTATAAAAATAGATGTCTATATTTTTTTTTTTATGTTGGAAATAGTTTTTATATCGAATGTCAAAACTTGATATAAATGTTTATTTATAATATTTATATTTGTACTAAACGATTTATCAATTTGAAAATAACTTTAATTTAAGCTAATATTTGTTGTTTGGGTTTCAATAGATAGGTTTGGATATGTTTTTTTGTAAGTTTGGATTTTGTTCATGAATAATGTGGTATTTTTCTTTACGGCGTCATCGACTATGGAAATCCATCCGCCGGAGTTTGATAAAAAATGAAATTATAGTAACTATTAAAAATTGAAGAGAAATTACATAGTTATTTTATAAATAACAAAACTATTTATTTTATTTTATTTCACATATATAATTTTTTGAAAATATATATTAGGAAATATGTTCTAACAGTAAAAATATATATTAGGACATGATAGTGCCGCGTGAGACTCGTTTTTTTTTTTTTTTGGATATTCGTTTTTTGATCCATTTTTAATTTTTTTTTTGTTTGAGTTCGTCAAATTTTAGGATTTTCCACTATTTTGGGCTTTAAACAATAAGTCCAGAAGAAAAAAAATATAAAACATTAAAACTAAAAAGCCCATATGATAATAATCCAAACGAAAAAACTAAAATACATAACATCTGCGTGGTTTGAACCCACACACTTGCAGACTTAATTAAATGACTTATACCACTTTGCTAAAGTGTATTCATTGTTCTTAGTCATTTTTAAAAAAAACTAAGCTTTTAAAAAAAATATATATTAGGACATGATAGTGCCGCGTGTGAATCTTTTTTTTCTTCTTTTTTTTGGATATTCGTTTTTGATCCATTTTTAATTGTTTTTGGGTTTGAGTTCGTCAAAATTTATGATTTTTCCACTATTTTGGGCTTTAAACAATAAGTCCAGAAGAAAAAAACATAAAAACATTAAAACTAAAAAGCCCATATGATAATAATCCAAACGAAAAAACTAAAATACATAACATTTGCGTGGTTTGAACCCACACACTTGCAGACTTAATTAAATGCCTTATACCACTTTGCTAAAGTGTATTCATTGTTCATAGTCATTTTAAAAAAAATATAAACTTTTAAATTTAAATACGTGGGGCCTACTCGACTGCTGATGTGGATAGATTGTGGCATTTTCTTCTCCGAGAAAGGAAATGAATATTCAATAGCTTTGTAGACTGGGCCGGGGCTCAAATAATATTTGGGCTTTTTCCTCATCTGTAAATTCTATTAGCAAGTCCAAGAAAGATGCATACAAGAAAACACTAATCAGACGGTTGAAAAGAGCCCAAACAAGGGAGCCATCGATGTTCTTTTTATACATTCATGAAATCTCTTACAATCTGTTTCATTTAATTATTAGATTATCGATATTTTCTAAAGTCTTTTATTTTTCACCAACAGTCTTTTTAATATTCACAGCTTCAAATGGTAAAAACTGCCCAATCATAACAGATCAAACAGATCATGCATATCAAATAAATTAAATGCATGTCAAGTAAATCAAAAAGTTTATTATAATGTATAATGATATAAAACAGTATAATAAAAATAGATATATTTAAATACTAAAAATAAAAATACAAACTTAAAAACATGTAATATATAAATACAATACATAAATAAAAATAAATATGCACTACAACCATATTAATGTAGTTTTAAAATGAAAATATAAAAATATTGGTTATTAATGAAATACATATATATTTCATTAAGTGAAATTGCACTCCATATACTAGAATAAGTTGGAAATTAGGAGAGTATCCGAATAAATTGTTTGCCACTGTTTACACTTTGTTAAAGACACTGATGCCCCTATGGTTATCGTAGCAAATAAAAGATAACAAAAGATTTGGTTAAAGATTTGGTAAGATATGAAAATCCATGATATTGACTTATTCTTGGGTTCAACCTCAGGTTCACCAACTTATAAAATAGTGTTATTTCATATTTGATATCTTTTAAAAAGGAAACAAAATATTGTCAAGTTATATTATGTTTTTAAAATAAAAATAGAAAAATAAATAAGAATAATAATATTTACAAAAAAAAAATTTCTTCAAAAAATATAGTTTAACATTAAATTATGTTTTAAAATAAAAGATAAAAATAAAATAAAAACAGGAATAATTGCAAAGAACAATTTAAAACAAAAAATCTTTTAATATATCTTCAAAATAAAAACATGTGTTTAAAATAAAAAAGATAAAAATATATAAAAAACAGTATAATTGGTTAGTATTAATTTACCCAAGGGTTAATATTTTTTCAAAGGGTTAAGATTTTTCCAAAGGGTTTATGATTTACCCAAGGGTTTAGGGTTTAGGATTAGGGTTTAGGGTTTAGTATTAGGTTTTAGGGTTTAGGGTTTAGTGTTAAATATTTTTTAAAAAAGTTTTTTTTCGTCTTTTAAATATTATTATGTTTTATTTAATTTTTTTATTTTTATTTTAAAAACATAAAATAATTTAACAAGATTTTATTTTATTTTTAAAAAGATATCAAATATGAAATAACACCATTCTATTGGTTGGTGAACCTAGAGATTCACCGTAGGGGGTGAACCTAAGAATAACTCTTGACTTATTCTTGGGTTCACCCCCTAAGGTGAACCTCTAGGTTCACCATCCAATAGGATTACATTATTTCATATTTGATATCTTTTAAAATGGAAACAAAATCTTATTAAATTATATTATGTTTTTTAAAAATTACAAAAAAATAATTAAAATAATAATTAATAAAAAAGAAAATAATTTTTTTAAAAGAAAAAATATTAACACTAAACTCTAATCCTAAATCCTAAACCCCTAGGTAAATCATAAATTTTTGGATAAATCTATAAAAAAATTAGTGTTTATGATTTACCCAAGGATTTAGGATTTAGGATTTAGGATTAGAGTTTAGGGTTTAGTGTTATGATTTACCTAAGGGTTTAGGGTTTAGGATTAGAGTTTAGGGTTACATTATTTCATATTTGATATCTTTTTAAAATGGAAACAAAATCTTATTAAGTTATATTATGTTTAAAAAAAAATACAAAAAAATAATTAATAAAAAAAAGAAAATAATTTTTTTTAAAAGAAAATATTTTAACACTAAACTCCAATCCTAAACCCTAAACCCCTAGGTAAATCATAAATTCTTGGATAAATCTATAAAAAATTAGAGTTTATGATTTACCCAAGGATTTAGGGTTTAGGATTACAGTTTAGGGTTTAGTGTTATGATTTACCCAAGGGTTTAGGGTTTAGGGTTTAGGATTAGAGTTTAGGATTTATTGTTTTAGTGAAAATATTTTTTTTTAAAGAATTCTTTTATAAAATTTATCCAAAGGTTTATGATTTACTTTGGGGTTTAGGGTTTAGGATTAGAGTATAGAGTTTAGTGTTAAAATTTTGTTTTTAAAAAAGAATTATTTTGAAAATTGAAACCGTCGGATTGCGGATTTCTGCTTCAAAAAATGGACGGTCCAGATGAAATTTCTTCAGATACAAAATCTAGTAGCCTCCTCGATATCGGTAAATAACTGCACAATATATTTACTAAATCTTAATAAAATCTTTCCAAATCACAGTAGCTTATTACGTAAGCACACCTCAAGCAGAGTACATGGGTATTCCGTAATTACACAACTGAAGAGGTATATATTGGGCCCATTATATATCCGCTAAGGAATATGCCTAATTTCCGCTATTGTAACGTATATTGGCCTCATTCACTCTTTCATTATTATACACTAGATGTTTGCCGGTGCTGCACACCAGATTTTTGTACAATGATATAGTTTTAGTAATTTTAAAACTATTTTCTGATGTTTTAGTAAAAATATATATCAAACATATAAAGATATTTAAGATTTTCTATTTCTACATTCATTGTTTTTAGATTATTTTTAAATAAAAAAAAATTGGATATATATGCAAAAATATTTTAGTGTTTTACTTAAATTGATCTTTTGACCTTTTTATAACCTTTGTTGCTTTGGCCAAATTTTTAATAATTAGATATTATGTTCCTAAATGTTAGAAAGATATACAATAAATTTCAAATGTAATAGAAACAAAGTGAATATTATTAATCACATGTACAATGATCTAAAATACTACAATATCAACAAAATGCATTAGAATCAAGACTAAAATATGAAAAATATTTTATTTCTTTCATTTGACCTAATATTCTTTCCAACAATATACATGTATGATTTAATATACTCCAGATTGAGATTAAAATATATGAATCATATTATACTTAGACCATTTGACACAGATAGTTTTAAAAATAAAAACATTGTACGCTTTTATATGCATACATTAACTATATTCATATATGCACCAAGGGTAAATACCCTACTCAAATTTATGGATTTTTTCTGTTATATTTCAAATCTTGAGAGGCTGAAATACAATCTATGCACCAGTGCTGGTATTTTAT